CTGGTTGTCAAGTGTCCAGCAGAGAGAGAGATGAGAAAGATCAAGGAAAGCAGGATGGGCGGAGGATGGGGTGGTCGACAGGGGGCCAATCCGGACAGTGAGCAGCAGTGATGCTGCTCTGCATCTCTCAAATAGAGCCTCACATCCTGGGATCTTCTTCTGGAAAACCTTCTATCTATATTTTCATAAGACAATCAGATTTTATCCTGCCAGCTATTGCAGGTTCGTAGGAAATTGTTTCATTATTGCCTGCTGACATGGAGCTTAATCAGCATTTCAACTTTCAAAATTGTGACGGAGTGCATTGAGACTAGAGTGTGAAAACTCCAACAACTGACAGTAAGGATATTTCAGTGGGCCAAACTTTAATATTTAAACCATGGTTACTATTTCAATTCTAAAATATATTTAAGAAGATACAGAAATCGTACTTTCCTTTGATGTAGTGCCCATGTGTGACACACACTGTTCTGTGTGTTTATATGCTGTGTGAATGGGTTCATGACTGGGTTTTTCTTAAACTTAAACCTTTGACACAGGCACAAACACACTCACTCACACACACAAACAGACTAAAAACATTTTGAAAAAAATCATTTCGAGTTGCAGCTGGCTAAAATGAGGAAGAAAGACCAGAATTCAGTGAGTCTGGATGTTTCATCGGATCATTCTGTGGACGCCTTGGCTATGTCAGCTTTGTGGGGAAATATTAGGTCAATGTTATTTTACAGGCTGGTGCACTGCTTTCAAATGCAAAAGCTTGAGGGCACAGTGTGGAAGATTAGGGCGGACAGCAAATAACAACTAACAAAGCAACTACTCCACAGGGCTAATTTTTGTTTTTGCTTTAAAAGAAAATGTCATGCAGAAATGAAGCACTCAGTCAGTTTCCCCAACATAACACGGTCTCATCCTGCTGGAGGACTAAGATTAGTCTGGGTCTTCACAACAGAGGTGGATTCTCAAATACAACAAAAACAATCAAATAAAACATCATTAAAATACTTTTAATGAATCTATAATGATTAAATTGACAAACTCACATAATCATATTTCTTTTCCATGTGCTGTGGCGTTGAAGAGAGAAATGAAATCATTCATAAAATAGATATTCATTCCATTGGGGATTTCGAAATCCAATTGTATTGCCATTGCAACAAAATTCTTAATTATATTTAGTCATTTATTTTTAAAGAACTAATACAAGCTTTGTATGAAACCAGCAGACTTTAGAAGTTTCCCTCCTTCAACACACCTGATTCTCATCAGCACACCATCATTAAGCTTGTGCGGGGCTTTTGAACTGATCCTTTTCATCCCTTTCATGTTGAAGCTGACAAACTTCTAAAACCTGCAGGACAGCGACCCTCGGAACGAACTTGGACACTCCAGAACTAGACTGTCCCTTCCTGTCCAGAGGGAAGTCTGGGGCAAAACAAATCACCGAGAAAACTTGTCTGTGTGAGTCCTGGAATCAGAACATGGTTCTCCTGGCCATCAGAGCAAGGGCAAATACGTCATATTTATTTTAATATCAACCAGGACACCGCATCAATGAGATATGTAGCTTGAATTTTTTTTTAAAAATAACCTTGATTTACGTCCCCTTTTGGGGATGTTTGTATACTGATGAAAACATTAATTAGGAAAGATGTAGACACTGGACATTTAATATCACACAAACACACAGTTCATATCCTCAACTGCCATGAAAAAAAGAAGCTATAAAAACAGAGTAGGGTACTAAAAAAATCTGGTTAAGAAATACCATATAAAAAAAAAAAAACACATTTTGGCAGCAAAACCTTGCAGCACAAGGAGTTAAAGGAGACATTAACTAAAAGATACAGTTCTCAAGAGTCTAAACTGGCTGGTGTTCTACCAAAAATACAGTAGTTAGAGTAGTGTTTCTCAACCCTGGTCCTCAGCAGCCACGGTCCTGCACGTTCCCCATGTTTCCAGCTCCAGCACACCTGGTTCAGATGAGAGGATCAGCTCCTCAGCTCTGCAGCAGGAGGATAACGACACACTCATCTCAGTCAGGTGTGCTGACACTGGGGAACATGGAGAACATGCAGGGCTGAGGGACCTGAGGGACCTGAGGACCAGGGCTGAAGAACTCTGTTTTGGATCATCAGATGATGCAGGGCTGTCCTGCAGCTCCTTACATCACCAGCACCTAAACAACGGGATTCTTTCCAGGTGAGTTCTGCAGGATTTTGCATGTTCTCCCTGTGTCTTTTTGGGTTCTCCCTGGGTACTCCAGCTTCCTGCCACCATTTAAAAACCTGCATGTTGATTTAAATGGAAGCTCTGAATTGCCCATTCGAGACAATGTGAGTGTGTGTGTTTTTTGTCTCTGTCTGTATATAATGGATGGATCATGATAGCTCCATTTCTGTAAATGAAACGGTGTACAATTGGTTTATAGGAATTTGATGCCTATTCAGCACCCTGTCAGTAGTTGAGAAGCTGACTGTTTAGATGGTTATGAAGATGTTGTGGGCCTCCATTATGGCACTTTTCACCCCTTAGTCTTATGGCCTTGTTTTCCACAACCATGGTGCAAATAGCCTCCTGTTCAGATGTGACCCGGGGGCCCTCTGCCACCCCTGTGAAGTGGTCTTGAGGTATCAGATAATACACACAAAAAAGATCCCAAATCCACTGAGCCGTGTGGCTTACAGAAATATCTGGATGAGTTTAACAGAGGAGGGGTGAGTCTGGGTTTTCTGGCCGTGGGGTGACGGGTCTGAGATGATGGCTGAGCCAATAACAGCAGGTGAGCTGGTGCAGAAAGTCCAGTGGTCAGGGAATTAAATAAAGGAATAAAACAGAGAACAGGAACAAGGATTTCATTAGTTGGCTGACAAGGTTAGCTTCAGAGCAGGTTTGGGCTGGATTACTGTTTAGACTGGTGAGACAATGTGGCCCAGTGTGTGTGTCCTACAGGTTCTCATGACGCAGCTATTGTTGTGTGCAGATGGAAATCAAATTTCCTCTTCCTCTCTTTTGTCTCTTAATTCTTCTGCCATGCAGCCTCACTCCTCTTCCTCCCCTCAAAGGTTGTTGTAACCATCTGATTTCTTTCCGTTTCATTGTCACATTGTGTTGTGCCCAGTAAATTAACTTTTTCTTAAATGAGCCTTTTTCAGTCAATCTGGTGAAAAGTCATTCAACCAATAATACTCCGGTTGATACACAGGTAGAAATATAAATAAGAATTGTTTACTTTTTTCCAGGGTTGAGAAACTGACTGACTCAGTTAGCTCCTGAATGGAAGTCATTTTTACCAGCTCCTTTTCATACAAGATCTCTACTGTAACATCAACACTAAAGACTGGAGCTCACACAGGACTGCAGCCACACAGCAGACTGACTGTCAACATTTAGTCCTCTGAGAGCCAGAACCCTGGAGGAGGTAGTTAGAAACCTAAGCTCATCAACATGCAGGTATTCATTGAATTTTTTAACAGCTCATCCATCACCAGAAACCGACATGCTGAAAGGGACCAATACTTCACTCTTATCAGATGCATCGATTCAGCTGACCGGCTTCTTAAATCCAAACAGTAATTTAGACCGATTTCAGTCTGGTCAACAAAAAAAAAAATCATATCACTGAAACCACACTGATCAGAGATATTTATCTGCACACTGAAGCAACTGAAACATCCTTTCTTGTGCTGCTGGATCTTAGATTTTGGTACTATGGACAACAATATCCTACTGCAAGTTCTCAGTTGGTTCAGATCATATTGTGATGGCATGGGCTTGTTTTTTCCATTGGGGGGGGAATAAATCTCAGCTTATTCCACTGACTATGAGGTACCTCAAGGCTTAGTTCTTGGGCCTCTATTATTTACATGCTTCCCCTGCGTCGGTTCATAAAGAACAGCAGTGTTTATAATCACAACTGTGCAGAGACTTTCAGATCGCTTGGCTCTTTCACCAAATGACTCTGGTCCATTAGACACCCACTGTCTGGGCTTAGAGCAAGTGAACAGCTTGATGAAACTGATCTTCCTTCAATTAAATCATATAGAAGATAAGCTAGAAACAATTGTATTTGCTGACAGAATGCAGAGATTGAGAGTTGGCACTCGGCTTGAATCCAGGGAGCTCAACATGAAATCTCAGGTTAAGAATTCTGGAGTTTTAAGCAATTCAGAGCTGAACTTTGGCAGCCACATACCTACATAGGAGCACTTTAAGGGTATGAGTCATGTCATTCTTTTTTATTAATCTTTAAATAAAATCTTCATGGTTTCTTACGTAATTAAATTATATTTTGCTCATAAGGCGTTCCTTGGGTGATGGCACTTTAGAAGTTGTTCATTTATTTCTTGTTGGGGACCAGGAGAATGAAACACACAAATTCTGAGAGGTGCACACACACATGCGCCTCCAACATCCCCATAATTCAGTGCGGGTGTCGTCCGTCACCACATTATCCTGATTGGTGGCAAAGAATCATTGACACATTAATAACAAGCTGTGGTTTTCTGAAGCTCTCAGTGACATTTGAAGGTGTGTCCCAACATAATTGGATGTACTCAAAAATCCTTCTTTACAGGCTAATAAAGCAGCTGACAGATTTCTGACACATTTTATGATTACATTAAGTGGGGAAAAATGGTTTATGGTTGCTCCTCAGTACAGGCTGAAGCCATTAATTGTTCGAGGTTTCACCTTGCAGTAATTAAGTAGTACAAGGTTTAATGGGCACGGATCTGCAAATGTTAGAGCAGTATTAAAAAGGGACATAATTATTTTGGCCCAATTAAAATCTGACAGAATTTCTGTCTTGAAATTAGAAACTGATATTTGAGAACATCAAGAGGTGTGCAGCTATATTCAGAGCCATTTTTCTATTATTTTTTTTACAGTAAAACTAAATTGTGTGTGTGTGAAAGGCCACAGTCACCAGTTTTAGGAGTTGGTTGTTTAAATGCCTGTGATGAAGTGTTTATCAGTATTCATTTAGTGTTAATCTTACTGGGTAAGGTGGGCTGGTTGTATTGGTACCAGTGACCCAGCACTGTAAAAGATCTGACAAAAGGATGAAGAAGAGGTGTAATTAAAGAAGTTTAGTGTACGTTTATGTAAATAAAAGAGAGTGGAAGTACTGTTTCAGTGTTTGTGTAAGTTTGAAGATGCAGTAGGTTCTCCCTTTTTCAGTCTCATGGTTCAATCCAAAGGGTCTGCTGTTCAGAACATTTCTAAGCAGCTTATGCCATTTGAGCTGGACATCTTAATGCAGGAACCTTATCCCTAACTACTATTTTCTTGAAGTCCCTCTAGGTGGCCTGTTACATGGAAAGGCCGAACTGGGGCGGATCAGGAAGCGTTCGTCCAGCTTTAGAGTAGACTGCTCTTACTATTAACATTCCAAATCCCAGGGCTTCTTTCCATGCAAAATGTTCTTAACCCTGAAACCCACACCTGGTGATCTCAGACCACGTGATTTAAATGCCGCTCTAGAACAGGTTTACGCTCCAAGCTCGAACTTCTCTGGCACACCTCTTGGATGGAAATGCAGACAATGATCCTGCTACACCAAGTGGGTTTTGCCATCTGCTTTTCTCACGACACTCTGGCTTCTGGCTCACTCCCAGGAGAAAAAACACTTGTACCTCAGTAGTTAGTCACTCTCTCTGCTGACAACTGGTAAGCTTGTTGCCATCCCCACAGGCTCCACGATTTCGGCGTCATTCAATGACTTTAGTACACCGAGGAAACACAGACACTTTCTTAATTTGGATGGGAAACCTCTTTTGAATGCAGACTGGATTTATGAGATTCTCGAGGCGTTCTACTTGCCCTCTGCTATCTGTCTGGGGTGTCCAGCCCACGCTCACTCTGATGACCCTGCTACCGATGGCAGCGCAGGGGCGGATGCTGGAGCCAAACGGGCCTGACTGGATCTTCTTCCACCCCCTTTTTCTGCTTCTTGCCTTGCCTCTTGACACTGCATTAAGAGTAAAATAATTCCCCCAGCAACCTACAAAACCTACTTGATATGTACATTGCAGACACTTTTTTAAGATGAACATTTAGTGAAAGGTTTTTATAGCTATTCTGCACCTCTATTTGTCCTTAGAAAGCATTTAGCACACCTCAGAAAAGAGAGGAGGAGAAAACTGCTCAGCTCTACACATGCAAGAGCTCGGCCTGAAAAAAGGATGTTCAGAATGAATTTGTGTGGTCTACTCATATCAGATCTACTTTAATGACAACAACTTGGATAGATCCTCCCTTTTAGTGCCATTGGCACATGGCCATCAGGACAATGATGATCAATTTTGCAGTCTTACCCAATGTGGCTGGAGATTGCTTATTGATGTTCCCACATCGCATGCAGCAGAGAAAATGTTGCTAGCGATTTAATGACAGATTGACTTGCAGATTAGAGTTGGATCTTTTTAGAATGTTAAGTGGTCAAATGATCCTGTTAATGGCTGTTTTTTTCTTTTTGTTTATTTTTATGGCTGGTTTTTGACAGATACACATTGCATTTAGTGGGGAGAGATTTAGAGGAAAAAAATATTCAAGGAAAATAAGAAGAGAGGTGTTCTTCAAAGATTTAGACATGGAAACATGATTTGATGATGGCAACATTAAGAAACATTAAAGACTTTATCTTGAACATTTCATATAAATCCAGTTGAGTGGGAACATGTTTTCTTCACTTTTCTATTTTGACATTGTCCATTTTCATGTGAGTCATAGACGGTTGTTATGAGTCATAGCCATATGCCCACACAGACAACATACACAGGATGTAGAAGCTCCATGGACAGTTGTTTTAAAGTCAGCACCGTGGTCTCTGTGTCTCTCTGTCTCTTATTATTGTGCCATCTTTGCAGGCTGTCTTCCATTTAGTTTTGCCAGCATTCAATCTGAGAGCAAGGTCCCTATCTTCAATCCTGCAGGGCATAATTATCATGGCCACTGCAACAATCAGCTTCAGATACAGTGGGCTGTCTCAGCATGTGTGGGTGTGATGAACAGGAGAAAGATAACCATTTTAAAAGAGAAATATCATAGGTATTCAAGCAGTAGAGAGGTGAATCCAGGATATATGGTTGATACTTAGTTTTGTTTAAAGAAATTGATATATAAACCAATGATTTGCATTGAATAAATATTACATATATTAATTACAATGTTTGAATCTCCTAAAATCTAAGGTTTAATGCCTAAACACTAGGATCTGCCTTGGTACTGTTGATTTGCATGTATGAATGTAGGACAGATGGACATTTATAAAGAAGATGATACAGAGCACTGACCTTTACAAACAACACATCTCCTTTGTCTGTGTATCCATCCATTGTTGGCAAGTGCCACCTTCAACTTGACAAACAAATCCCACCCAGAAAGGAGTGGTTAAAGACCTCTCATTCTTCCCAGTTCTACATTTCTGGTTAAAAACATCCAAACAGCCAGTCTTTCAAATAGCAGTTCTGAATTCCTGGAGTCTCTGGGTAGTGTCTTTGTGGAGGTGCCATCTGAGGTTTCAGACCCAAAAAACTTCACTGTCCAATCTTTACCCTCACAGACTAAATAAATCATTTGAGTCTGTGTCTTTTGGGTGGAAGCCAACAGCTGGGAGGGCTATGGGAGTATGTTGAACCAGTATTAAATTTGAAGTTTATTCAGTTTGTTGAAAACCAAAGGAAGAGCTGTGTCTGCATCTTTGACCAAAAGTTGATCTCATAGCTGCATCTTGTCACCTTTCCCCCAGCATTTTAAGACATGATCTTGGGGATGGGGGTGTGTGGGTTGAGACATTGACTGTGTATCTCTGCTTTCCTCAGATAATAAAGCTCCTCTGGTTTTCTCAAGCCGTAACTTTCAGTGCACGCTGGAGTCAGTTTTAGTTGAGTGTTTCGTTGAATGAATAACGCCAGTTCTTTCCATGTTTACATCATGGTTAGGCTGAAATGTCCACCCCTTATTTCATCTGTCACTCTGGTAGATGGCACCACATTCTACCAAGTCTCCTTACATCTTCTCCTACTTCCATCTTATCATATGAAACATTCCAGTGCTGCACGCAGAAAAACATTCCCAGGCTGAGATTTTCCCAGCTCCAAAATGCTTTTGAACTTTACACATGGTGTGCATTAATTGTACCTGACCAGACTTTCCCCAACAGTATTTCATGGGTTGTCTAAATGTTGTTCATTAAATGTTAAATGTGCTTCAAAATCTTTTTTCTTCAGCAACACAGTCTTGTGTGGTGGGTGGGCACACAGGTCATGGCAGATGAGGGCATTGCTTGTTTTCTAGTAAACATTTGTGCCTGCAGATTGCAGGTCTTCTTTAGCTCTATAATAGTGGCTCTCTGTGTGAAATCCTGCAGGGACCACGTGGCTCTGGCTGGTTTGTGTTGAATTTAGATTCTATTTTCCACTTCCGGATCTTGGTCCAGACAGCGATCACAGGAACCTTCGGTAGTTTAGACGTTGTTCTGAAACCAACGGGCCATCGGCTGGGACTGGAGCAGATGGCATTACTTTGCACTGGCAGGTTTGGTTTGTAATTACAGATAGATTTCTGCTTGTTGCAGCGTGATCTTTTGCATCTCCATTTTTCATGTGCTCCAGACTTTGTCCCTCTTTCATTTCTCACCATTACACATGACATCATCTATGGACATCTACAGTATGTTTTTTGTTGTTTTTTTGTTTTGTTTATTTTGTTAACCTTGTCCTGTTCAGCCTTATGGCAGCAGAACTGAAGATGACCACAGAGACGACCGGGAACCAGAGGGCAACCAGGAAAGCCCTCCCCCGAAGAGCCCCCCCACCACCACCGTAAGTTTTGATTTCTTGGCAAATTTGGAGTAAAAATTCCCAAAATCTTTTTATGCTTTAAAGTACTTTCACCTTATTCAATAGAAATCAGTGCTTTTGATAGATGCTGTTTTTCTTTCAGTTTTTTCTATTATTTTCCCACAGAGTTGGTCAACCTTGGCTGGGGTTTTACTCGCTATGCCTTCCCTGACACAACCCTCCCATTTATCTGGGCTTGGAAACGGCACACACAGGTAAGTGGTGACAAGGACTCAGAGAGGAGTCCAATGTTCAAATTCTGTTTGTTTGCAGGAGAGAAAAGTACACGGTTCAAAAATGAGGTGAAGGGCAAAACACTACAGAACAGGAGCATAGACCTGGACTATTCAAATGTTGATCCCTGGGCTGGATTCGGTCCCTAAGGAATGTTGTATTGGCCCTTATAGAGTAATATAATGATTCCATATGCGCATTCTCATGTAGTGCATGACTGTGACTAACGGTGGATTCTCCTGTGGAGTCGGAGGTTTGAGTGGAAATCGTCACAAATCGCCTTGCTGTGTTCTATTGTGTAATGCTCTGATTTGTTTGTTTCAAACATGAATGTTGGTTAACCAAATAAATTATTAGATTATTTTCTTATCTTATGGTCTTGGCAAACTCCAGGCTGGCAGTTAGTATTCCTGGGGTTAAAATGGTCAAACCGTTTCATGGAACAAAAAACATAATTCTCACACATGCATTGACCACCAGCACACACTTTGGGAGATATCAGTCTCTAGTATCATGCCATCAACACTTTTAGGTTGGTAAAGATACATTTTGAAAAACTTACATTTTAAAAAGCCAAAATCATCACTGACTCTGTTTCTGTGTCCCCTATGGGACTGGACAGACGATTAACGGTCAGTAAAATGAAGCAGCTGGAGTGTGCTGTGACAGATGCCAGAGGATTAAATGACACACATAAATGACTGGATTAAGAATGGAGCTATGGCAATTTGGGTCCAGATAACAGTTTTGGAAATACTGTAAATATAAAACAATAACATTCTAGTCAAGTGCATACCTAACATCAGAAACAAAAAAAATTCTCCATCAATTTTTTGTTCAATGAGTCTTCTGATCTAAAAGTCATCAAACTCCGTCGATAAACGAATTGAACGCCCCGTTCTCGCTGCACAGCCAATCACTGTGCAGGAAATGACCCGCCTCCCAGGTCCACGACATTCCTTCCATTTCCACCATCCTTCTTTTCACACACACACACATTAATTCTTCTCTATGCATGTGTGAGAGTGTCGGAATGAATTATAACACGCACACATGCAGTCGTGTGTTTGCATGTTAAGTCTGAAAGCACGTACAAAGAGTCTAACATTAAACACTGCATCACTTCAATGGAGCGTCTTCACACAGGCTCCTTCACAAGGAAGATCTTTTCATTATCAGTAGAAATAACACTATAATTTTACTTTATATACAAACAAGATTTCAAGGGGGCATCTTTTAGCCTGATTGACTGACTTCTTTGTTGGATGGACAGAGGAGCCAACTTGCTGCGTCTATACAACCAACACTCATCCATCTGTTTATCTAAGGCTGTGATAGATGGGCTGCAGAAATTTCCTCCCTCCTGTGTGGCTGCAATCACTCTCCCCATCACTACTGATAATGCGGCTTGCCAAAAACACTAGCTCACAATGGCAGCAGGTCCTCACAACAAAGTGGGTTAATGATGCAGGAGGACTGGCTGTCAACCTCTGGGCCAGCCGTGTCTGTCCATCACATGGATTTGCTTCTCCACCCCATTAGTCTGCCGACTTGATAGAGGACAAAAAGTAACTTTAATACTTGACTAGCATCAATCCCCATTTTTTCTCAAATAATTGTTAAATGTATATACTCTAGGTAAAATAAAACAAAATGCAACCGAAGCAGATGGCTGACGGTAGATGGGGCTAAACCTTCTGCAGAGAAACCCCCAAAGGCAGCCAAACTGTGCAGGAGTGCTTCACCCTTTAGGTAAATACGTGAAAAAAAGTATTTCACCATCAGACGCATCATGAACAAAGTTCAGACACAAATAAGGAAAGTGATTCAAATAACTGAATGCAGCAGTTACAAGAAGTCTGAGGCTTTACAAAAAGAGGAGAACTCTGTGGGCACTTACCCAAAGGCGCAATACTTCAAGCTGTCATTCTTTACTGATAAGTCCTGCTTTTGAGATGGAAAATGGACTTTGCTTCAGTGCACCAGAGTAAGCTGTAATACTTATGCACCATGTTTATTATTCTGTCTGAGATTAGACTTTAGGGCCTTCTCTTATTTTAGCCCATGATCTTACCAATCCGGGAAAACTAAATATTCTGTGCTTTCAAGATTCGGTGTACGGGATGAGAGTCAAATCCCTTTACTATTTCCCATTCTCTCATTAGCACTGATTAATCCCCACTCTTAGTTAAGTTACTCACTGCCTTTTCTTTTCACATTCCTTTTTTATTTTATGTCCACACAGAGAAAATGAGACCGATGGCTAACACTGACTACTATGGTCGGTTTACAGATGCCAAAAACTTGATATGCATGTGTTTAGATGGTGGGGAAAAGCCAGAGTATACCTAAATGTTACACATGCCTGATATGTTACCAATCTATCTCTCACAAAACTAACACATTTAAATTTAAGTCCTCTGTGGGGCTGATTCTCATACATTCATTGGATGTCAGATTAGAGCTTTAAACAAATTCACCACAGTGTTGAAGATGCTTAGTGATTGTATCCTCCTATCCTTCCTGTAGAATTTATTAGAATCATGGGTCGTAATAGCTCTGCACATTCTAACAGATTAGCTGTGGAGCTGATAACATGGTTGATGAGATGTCTGTGTGATGTGTGACTGGCTTTGCATTTTTACCAGTGCATGCTAACAGGTTCCACTCATCACTGCCAGTGTTTCCTCTATCACTCTTTCGTTGTAATTCACACTCACAATAGCAAGATTACAATATGGCAAAACACAAAGTGATTGCCAGTCACTTCAACAAATATGCTGCTTAATGAGTTGTACAATTACTTAAATCTTATCTGTTACACTGACTATGTACTGAGCATTTCCTTCAATATCACCATATTCACATGAACTCCATATGATATGCAAACTATTATTGCTCACAGAAAGTTCCACAAAAGCAGAAAAGAACCAGAATGGACACAAAGAACACCGATGATCTGGATCCATGGCTATGTGAAGCCAGTTGTTATGCATCTTGGCAGTTTGCATTTATCTATTTAATAAAAGTGCATTACATACTAAGCTTTGGTCCTGGACACACAATTGGTCCAAATGAATACAGTAACTTGATCCAGCTGGATAGCTTTGAAAATAATACAGAATTTGTCTTTCGGAGTATGAAGAGTTTTCTGATACAACATTGTTTAGAATATTTAAATGAGGGTAAGGGTTAGAGTGAACCAGCCCAGAACCCTATAATCACATTGAGACACAAAAGAGGACCCCCCCCCCCGAAATAAAAAGTTTAAAAAAGATTAACTAATTTTACAAAACTAAAACATAAAACTATTGAATAGGATTTGTTGAATGTTAGATCTCTCTTTTCCAAGCCTGTGTTCATAAATGACCTGATTGATCATCATATTGATGTGTTTGGTCTTACAGAGACCTGACTGCAGCAGGAGGATCATGTTAGTAAGAATGCTTTTACTCCTAACTGGTTAAATGTTCAAATTCCTGCAGAGGAGGAGTGGCAGCTACAGTAATATTGGGATTAATCAGTCCCAGACCCAGGATTAGTTTTTAGCTCTTTTGAATCTCAGTTTTTCTCTTCCAAAGTGGAAATCATGAAACCCTTTTTTCTGTTTGTGGATGTGTTCTCCTGGTGCTTATTTTGAGTTTCTGTCTGAATTCTCAGAATGCGCTGAAGATACAGATAGTTAATTCTAATGGGTAGCTTAAACATTCATGTAGATGTTGAAAATAACTCTGTAAATATTAACTTTAGGAGATTCAAATGGATGTTCTCAAAATGTGCACAGTCCTATTGGCACTCTAAATCATATAATTGAGCTTGTGTTGACTTATGGTATTGAGTGATTAGATAACTTTGTTTTTTATCTGATCATATGAGTATAATCTAACCAGCATCTGAGAACACATGCATTTCTAATAGGTGTCTGTTCAGCAATTTCAGTCTGTTGTAATTTCACACAATTTCAGTCTGTACAAATGGAACAATTGGAATAATGCAGTGATAGGCTGGCTCTTTGGAATGATTCACATTTGTGTGATTTGAAATAGACAAGGAATCTGGGAAGAAAATCCCTTTCCGCCAATGTGGAAGAGTGTAAATTAGTCAGAAAATTAGATGGCCAAATACCTTACTGATAAAGGAGTGTAGGTCACATAAAAGGTGCAGAGGATGTCCTCCTTCAACTTCCTCGGGATTTATCTCAGAGGACTTGGCACAACTGCCCTGGTCAGGACGGCCCAGCAGCACCTCCGTTCCCTGAGGATCCTGAGATGGAACAAGCTGAGGATCGACCCGATAGTCTCATTCTCCCGAGCAGCAGCCGAGAGCATTCTGGTGCACACCATCCCTGTGTGGTATGCTGGCTACAGTGCAGGAGGATCAGATCCCAGAAGCAAAACAGACTTCTTCTTCTGGGCAATGAAACCGCACTGGTTCCATCACAGTCACGCTGCTACCCCAGTGCCCCTGATGTCCATGTGCATATCCACAGTTTAATGTGCAACATTTGCAATACTTTACTTCATAATGATATTTTAAGATTCACGTCCCCTATGCAAAGTCCTTGCCCTCCCACTCTTTACCATTTATGGCATCCTTACACATACCTCCCCAGGGTACGACACCCCTGTATATATCCCCTTATTTTTCCATCATTGTACTTGACATCACTCTTATCTAACTCTTTCTCTGAAACTTGATGGCCTTAAGCAGGACCAGATGGCATCGGCATCTTTAGGTAGAGGGAAGGAAGAAAGAGTCCTTTTCACAGGATCTATGAAGTAAGGCAACAGAGGATTGCTTGGAGGAACTCCAGCAAGAAGAAAGAAAACCATACAAAAAGTTGCATAAACTCTTTTTAAAGATAAAGACTGATAAGCTGGATCCTTTGAATAAAGGAATATACTTTACAAGTTAATTGTGAATCTCTTCGGACTCTGGTGGCATGCGGTGGGTCTTAAATTGTATTCATTATGTTCTCAAAAAGTCTTACATTTGAGTTGTGGAAACCTGCAGATACCCTGTCAGCCATGTTGGTTCGCTGAAAGTAAGAAAAGGCAGTGGCACTTAACTTCATAATTTTATGTAAAAATGTTCTGAAGGGAGCTTTTTAAATCTCAGCAGTGAAACAGTTTATTTGAAGAACAAAACAACTTAAAGGGAAGGTAAGTGCAGTCGGTTGTTGAGAATAGGCCTCAGAGGACCAGCAGTGTTGAATCTGTTAAACATATTTTGTTCGGGTGGCTCCATCCATGCTGCCTTACACTCCCCAGCTGTTGTTAATTCTGAAGCTTGGGATTGTCCTCAAACCTCTTCAGACCCTCCTCATGTTCTTCTGGAGTTTCCATTCCAACTTCTTCCTGTAACCCTCCTTAGCTTCCCGGATTTCCACCTTTAGTGTCCCCTGAATGGTTCTCACCTCCTCCAGCTGTGCAGGCCCTTTTTGTTCCATTAGATAACAGGTCTGAGGAGTACCAGCTGTAAGGTCTGACCCCAAAGCGGCTTTACATTAACATGGCCAAGCAGGAGGTCCAGTGTTCTATCTTCTCTGATGCTGTATGAAGTGGGGAGTGATATGTCTGTAGTGTTTGGATCAGCTAGCGGACTATGAATACAGTCACGTGTCTATGAACTGTTTGTTACCTGGGGGTCCTGGCCCTGTTGCCTGGACTCTGTTCACTCAGACTCCAGAGGGTCTGAGGACACACAGACAGCATATTAGCCCGTGTGATTTTACTTCTGACTTACACTTTTAATCCAAATGCAACGGTCCGGGTTCTCCCTTACCCCCTGTGGTTCTGTCAGTGAACTGTCAGTCAATTCTTCACCTCCACATTCAAATCTAAACACTTCAACTATGGTGCCCCCTGCCCCACTCACTCAATTAAGAGAGGCAACAATGTGTTGCACCTCAAAACACTTTCTCTTACATGTTATGCCACTAATGTGGATACCAAACAAGGAGTCATTTGGAATCTCCACCTCATTCAACAACAAACCGAGTTGTGCCTCTTTGAAATAGTTTCTTTACTCTCTTCATCATGGTTGCTGTTATCATGAAATATCATTAATCAGCTCATTTAATCCTTGTGATTCCTTCATGACACATAAGGATCAAACATACGTACATCCATGAGGGGCTTCGCGTTGACCATTTATGGTCGAATGTGGGCGTGTTGAAGGCAGAACATGAGGCGATATTTCAATGCAATCATTGAGGTGCTGCTGTTTTGTAAAGTGGAAATTGATGGTTTACACGCACATGGTCGTATAAGGCTATATATATATATATATGTATTCTTTTTTAAAAAATTGTTTTTGTTTGTTTTTTTGGGCATACACTGTTTTCAGCTTTCGTATGTGCACTTTCATAGATCCTACTCTGTGTTTTCTAAATGAGAGCCCTGGGGTTTCATCCTTTGTTAGAACCTCTTTGGTTGCTCGTCTTTCAGACCTTTTTTTCTCTCTATGTTCCCTTTGAGTTAACTGCCCTTGGTTCACTATTAATAGAGCAACTACTGCCTTCTCTTACAGTCCACAAACATGCATGTTTGATGTTAAATTTCTGATTTTAAAAAAAGTACACTGAGTCACTGTGAGGTTGCATAGTTCTTTGTTCACCATGCAAAACAGCCTGGAGACCTGTGTGGTTGGTATGGTAATGATGATAGTAGCTCTCACAATGCTTTTTACATAACTCCATTCAGCAACAACAGCCCCTAGAGGACGTTGTTACACACCCACACACAGACACACGTATGGTACCACTGCAAAGAAGGGTTTGTGTGTGGTGGTGACTGTAGTTCTGGAGAAAGAGCACCTTTCTGCCAATCAGAACGTCTCTGTTTAGTGATGCCATGTGCGTGACAGATAGCATGGTGTAGCTTGTACAACTGCAGAGATTACAGATGGGTGTGAGTAAATGGGTGAATGTGGCATGCAGTGATGCATCTGCTGGATGCATTCTCCCATCTGGGTGCACAAACCACATTCAGAAAACCTCTTGGACCGTGCTTTTCTATACGTTGGTTGGACATCCTTACTGATTCTGTTGGTGTTACATGTTGTGGAGAAGCTCATGCTTCCGTTTTAGTCGTTCCTCTGGCCTGTGATGGATTTCAGCTGCCTGCTACACGTAGCAGCTCATCACTGGAGGCCATCCTCCTGAGGTATACCTGGATCTGTGCTGTTTCACCCTGAACAGTAGCTCTGATAGTCATTATTTACTCATTCAAGTGAGTGTTCAGCCTTAGAATTCCTGACTTAATTTGGTAGAGCTTTCTTGTTTAAACATGGGGGTCTGTTTCCTCCTTTGACCAGGCTATTATGCCAGTGGGATATCCCATGTGTTAAATACTTTGACTTTGTACCTTCCATTGACTATTTGTAGTCAACCCTGACCATTCAATTAAATGTTTATTGGCACATAATATATAGTGCACATCCTTGGCCTAGGTTCTCGCACAATGGCATCTCACCTAGCTTGAACTCCACACTCGGCTAAAAGACTGACCAGCATCATCATTCTCATATCCGGCTGTACCAGCAGAATCCCAGTCTTTGCTGGGAATGATGACACAGATTTCTCTCCTGTTTCACTTTAGTAAGAAAAACAAGTGTCAGATTCTGTTCACTGCACATAATTACGCTGGATAGTAGGGAGTTGAATACCCCCCATTTGGAATCTGTTTACAAACTCAGTGTGTCAAATGAAACCTTCAGATGATATACAACAGTATGTAAGACAGTTTGATGGAAAGCATTATCATGGTGACAGTTAAATTATGGACTGAGTTACTTCAATGAATTAATTACTGCTGGCCTGGAAATGTGACACATTCCGTCTCAAACCACTCGGTGTGTAGTCAGGCGTGGAGGCTGCACAGTATACCAAACCCAATGGTAGCTGTACACAGTATATACATATATACATTTATATGTACATGCATCTGCAAACCACAAGGGAAGTTTCTGACATTTTGTTTTCCTGCATGAATGTTCACTGTTTTCTGCCTTTCTGCTGCCTTTCAGTTTATTGATTTTCTTGAGTCCCACAAAGAGTTTATCTGGTGAAGGCAGATTCAACGCCACAACTTCCAGGCTGTCATAAAATCAGTCTATTGTGAATATTGGAATAAGTCTTTATGAAGGACAAGTTTAATTGTTGTTGGGTTTCGCTCAGATGGGATGCAGTGTGAGCACTTTTGTGAAAAAAACTCAAGCAAACAAGCTTTTTTCATATATTTTTTCCCTCTCTCTAGCAGAGGTAGTGGGAAAAAGTTAGTATTAAAAACCTAAACATGTGTGTGCGGTGGAGAGGGATCCTCAGTAACCGATACATGTCAGTAACTTCTGCATTCAAATCACAAAATCTAAGATAACTTTGCCTGTCTTTTTCAAGAGAGGTCATGGGCAAACAAATGTATAAATGTACTTTATATATAAAGAACTCCACAACCACCTTTTGGTGTACTGGACTGCTCTACAGAAGGTAATAAATAAAAAGGAGGATGAGTAAGAACAATCAAAAACAGCAAAATAACAGTGAAAAACAATAAAATACAAAAAATCTAACACAATAAAATAATATAAAGTGTCATCACTCTACTGGGTGTTAAAAGCCATCCTAAATTTGTCGGCTTTTAGCCTAGATTGCTGAGGTCAGAAATAAGCTGCGTCTTGGCTGGGAGCTGGTTCCAGAACCTGGAAAAATCTCAGCCACTCCAGAGTTTCCACTGTGACTCCTGCACTTTCAGTCAGAGGTGGATTTGTTGACCTCAGAGCTCCACCGGGATTACGGACAGTTAAAAGCTCAGGTAAATACAAGGGTGTTAGGCTGTGAAGAGCTTTAAAACCAAACATTAAAGTTTCAAATCAATTAAAATGTCCTGTAAAGGACATGACGCCCATTCTGGGAGTTGAGGGATGTGCACACGTCTGTTAGTGTTGGTTAAAGGACAGCAGCAGATTTTTGCAATAGGAAAATAATGGACATCAGTTCCTACTTACAAACCTAAGCTGTCCTACATTGGATGTTGAAACAAAAATCACCTTAAATAAAATTATTTCAAATAATGTTTGACATGAGTGCATCAAGAAAATCCACTGGATCCTGTAGAGCACATTTTTCATACAACATTCTGAAAAGACCTACACTTCAATTATCTTACTAATTTGAAAGGTATTAGTTGACCAATAACTAAACAACTCCAGAGCTAAAACAGAAATATACCTCCTGTGGCCCCAAGGGGTCTCTGTATCTTTTCCAATGAGTCATTTGTATAGACCTTTCTTTTAAATGCTCAAAATTGAAGGAAAGCCACACTAATCTGTGGATTCTTCCATTACACACAATTAGTGCCAGACGGAGCCTCGTCATCTGTTCAAACATTTAGATTTCTCAGCTAAAGCTGAACTGACTCATTTGTCAATGTTGTGCTGGGAGGGCTGCAGTGGACAGAAGCCAAACGGGTTGTGTTGCATCTCCCCATGGCTCTCTTTGTTAGAACTACTTACTTCATACTTGGAAGATGTTTTCTTTTTTCTTTCATTTTTTTTTCCTTTTTTTAAATTTCTTTATTGATATTGTCAAAACACAGACTGGAATGCCAAAATCATACATCTGTGTTGGGAGTCACTTCAGTGACTATTGTAAATAAGACATTAATATGAAACCTGTGGTGTTTAAGTGTAGATTTTTTTGTTACTGTTGTAGAACAAATAGCTGTTTTGTAATATTCCTGTTTTTTAGATTATTGTAATGGCAACGTCTGAATAAAAAAACAAAACAATTATGTTATTATATCATTGGTAGCAACACATTAGAGGACAAATATATCCTGCAAATCAGATAGTAAACAATCCTAAAGCCAAAAACATGACGTATAATCAGACAGCTGGCAGTCTGACATCTGAAAACACCCACACAAACTGAAACTAGCAGAAATGATCTTACAAGAAGGATTATCTTATTTAATACTAAATGTTAAAATGGAATGGGTACTTAGTTATGTTTTTTGCAAGCTCACCATACAAAATATGAATTATTATAAAATCAAAAAAATATTATTTTTTTATTTTTGATTATTGTATTTGATTAACATTCGTGACGTTGCATGTATCAAATGCAAATAGCTCCCTCAATTACAACAAGATCAAATAATCTGTTCTCAGTCACAGGTTCTCCTCAAAATGTATAACATACAGTGGGGGAAATAAGTATTTGAGCCCTTGCTGATTTTGCAGGTTCACAAAGAATGCAACGATCTATAACTTTAATCATATGTACATTCTAACAGTGAAAGACAGAATCCCAAAGAAAATTCCAGAAAATCATATCATATGAATTTCTAAAAATTGATAACCATCTGATGAGGAAAAATAAGCATTCTTTGATGCTGTGTCAGTCAGAAATAATACAAACAGCATACCGTTTTCACATCATCCAAACACAAAACTCCCCCAAAAAGGAGCAAACAGTTAAAGATAGAATCACAGATCTAATCAAACACAAACTATAAAACTGTGGAGGAAATGAAATCCAAGTAAGGTCTGAAACATACGCGTTCCGGCACAAAAACAGTGCTATCATCCACTCATGGTCTGCAGTGTTTGGATCAGACTCAGGACACTGGGACTGGCTGGAAACAGTTTTTTCTTTACAAATGTGCAATCTATTGTACATTTGTAAAGTTGTGCTTGTTCCATACATCATGTAATATGTGGTGCTAATGGTTGAACGTCTCAGGTTAAGTGTTTACCAGCATATCGGAGTGGGAAGCAATTTACCATGAAATGAACAAGTGTTTTTTATCCTCGACCCAATTCCTGAGGGGGTGTCATCATCACAGCCTCCTCCGACTAAAAGGGCCAGTCATACTGTTTTTGTACCTTTGCTGATGTCTTTAGACTTTGTGTTCTGGACACACTTGACCAGGGCTTCTCCCACATCTGTGTTGTAGTTCACCTTTGTAAACAACATCCACATTTTTCCTGTTTATCAGTTGTTGCTTTCATTTGGAAAGAAATTTCTATTTTCATAACTCTCTTCAGTCTCTCAAATATGAATGTACACAGAAAGCATGCCTGAGGAATGACTTGACTCTTGGACTCAGCAAAGCTGAGATTTAAACCATTTCCAATAACTGTGCAGCCCCACTGGACGTTTGTGTTGTGGTCTGCTTTGGTGGTACTGTTCTACACTTATCATTTGGGGCCCGGGCAGACTTCTGAGGAATGTGGGTCTCTGTCTCTACTTTCCATCACCTGTGGTTGTGACACCTGAAAATGATCTTCTACTGATTTGAAAACTTGTTCAGGAAGGTCAGCGAGCGCTCCAGCTATGCATCACTTCTCCTCTTTAGCACCTGTGAAGAAACCCACCAGACTCCAATGACTCATCACTCCTACTGGAAACAAAATGACCTTTCCCGTGAATTATCCCATTACATTGCACATCAAAAGGAATTTTTGTATTTCTGTCAGTTAAGCCAAAAATGTTGGACCACATCTTTATCTGTCTGACAGTAAAGCTCTGTGTAAAATGGTGAGCCATCTATTATTTTCAAGGCAGGAGGACACACTGACCCAGCAGAGAGAAAGGCCTTAAGCATCTGGTGTCTTTATGAAAGAGTCAGACACACATTTTTTATTGTATTTTATTTTCCAGATACCTGGAGCATCTTTTGAAATAAGCTTATTTGCTTTGAAAATACACAGTCCACAGCCAAAGGAGAGGGCCTAAATCTTGGCTACTGGTAATATTGCATGTCATTTTGTTTGAGTCCCAGAATAATATTTGGAATTGGTGTCTTTCTAGTTTCTACATTTTCTAAGATCAGAGTTTCATGATAGCTGAGGCCTGGAAATGTTATGAGCACAAATTTGGTCAACTATCACTACTGCAAAGTCCACTGCTACACATCATCAGGGGGGCCTGCACTCTGTCTAAAAGTCTAAAGGGGTTCTGGCCCCAGACCCAGGCAAACCACAGCCTGGGTGAAAACAAAAAAACAGCAAAAAAAAAAAAAAAAAACCCACACACAGACATGCTACACAGTCACACAACAAACAATAAAGAGAGTAAAATTCAGCCAATCGATGTTTGGAGCTAAATACATGATTTCCCATCACTTCCTGGCTCTGGACTTTCTGATGCTCCAACATTATCCTCTAATCTCTTTAACCTCATAGAGACGCTCACAATAAAACTGTAGTATAAGTTTATTATATGGCAAAAACAGGACTGGATTAGGCTGCAAACAACCAAACTCGCATTTGCAACTCTTTCAAAACACATTCCGTTCTTTAACTCCTAAACGCAGAGCACACTGATGCTCAGATTTCCTAATCTTCCCTCCACTCTTCGCTCTGCGCGTCAGAAAAGCGGTCAAGGTGACGGCACGGATACGGAGCGCGCCCGCGCACGTGTGGGGAGTGCGCGGCTGCCACCGTGATCCGCAGACTGACGTCTCTCCGCAGAGCAGAGGAAGAGAAGACTCCGTAGAGCAGAGTCCGGCACAGCAGAGTCCGGCAGGGCAGAGTCCGGCACAGCAGAGTCCGGCAGACCGAACCACAACTTCAGCAACGAGCAGCTGTAGTTTTTAAGCATGTTCATCCTCCGGAAATCGCCGTTCAGGCACCCTCGCCAGGCGAGTGCGTGATTTTGCTGGTGTGCAGGCTTTCTCCCCCGTTTTTCTTTTTTTTTTTTTGGTCTTTTTTGTGTTGGAGGGGAAATATCCGTCTTTTTTTTCGTCCTTCGTCTGGTGTAAAAACCACCCGCTCTGTACTGGAATGATGTGGACCTCTCAGGATACTGTTGGATTTATTTTCTTCGTGGGGTTCTGTGCTCAGTTGGGATCCTCGTTGGAAGGTAAGACCGGGCTGCGGGAGGAAAAGCGTCGTGTCGTGTCGGGGGAAAGTCTTCCAAAGTGGATGGCACCTTCCAGAGAAGCACCGCGAGCCATCATGCTAAAACTTCTCATATCAAGTGGACAGTAGAAATATAAAAACCATCACGCTATTAGATATTAAATAAATGCTTTGAGTACAGGCGCTGAGATAGAAAATAAGCAACTGTTGATTGTTTGAAATCAAGTCATTTCACCAAGCACTGAAGGGAACGGGCGGTGGTTATTGTTTTTTAAATCTATCTATCTATCTATCTATCTATCTATCTATCTATCTATCTATCTATCTATCTATCTATCTATCTATCTATCTATCTATCTATCCTTGCACATATCAGGCTTTACAGTCATTTGCTGAAACGGAGCGGGTCTCTTTACGGACACGGGGTGGTCTTCTCCGGGTTGCCCTGCAGGGAGAGTGAGCGGTCCACCGGAGGGTCAGCACCCTGGACAGCACCCTGGACAGCCGCATGCCGCCGCTGTCCAGGGTGCTGTCCAGGGTGCTGACCGAAGCTCCAGATATCCGCCTCTACGCTCCCATGTTCCTTTTCTCCTTAAATCCTGATTTCATGTCGCTCCGATATAAGACTCCAGTTGCACAAAAAGCCTGAATAAGTCGAATTTAATTCAATGTTTTTTTTAAGTAGTCTAAGTCGTCGTTTGGTGCAAAAGTTTAGTTTTATTTTCCACCTGCACTAATCACCATAAGTCAGCTTGACAGAAAAAGGCAGCTGAAATAGAATGAGGGAAATAAATATTACAATAATAATATCAATAATTATAATATTAATAAAAATACAATGTCTTATAGCCTGGGCGCCAGAAAAGCTCTGAATAATTCACCCGCACCGCGCTCATGTGTTATTCCGTCATTATCTGGATCTGGGGGAGGTGAGAGCTAGATGGGGGAGTAGAGGGACCTCACTGATTTATGCTGCATTTTCCCCAAATGCCTCTTTGCAAATATTCACCATGTCCACATCTGAGACCGATAGACGGGGATTTCTTTGCTTCAGTTTTATAACTGATCTCCTCCTCCGACAACTTATTCCTTCTCTCATTCTGCAGGTCGCTTCACAGATCTGCCTTCTAACATGACGGTGAAAGAGGGACAAAACATCGAGATGGCGTGTGCTTTCCAGAGCAGAACCACCTCCGTGTACCTGGAGATCCAGTGGTGGTTCGTAAAGGAGCCGGAACCCAACGACAGCCAGGAGGACGTTGTTGATCAAGAGGTAGAAGGGAGTCCCTTTATTATATGTACAAGCACTGATATAGATAGATAGATAGATAGATAGATAGATAGATAGATAGATAGATAGATAGATAGATAGATTAGAAAACAGGTTATGGGAAAAAAGCATTCCCTAAAAATATAGAAAAACAGGTATTTTGGTTATTAATTACATTAAATTATTAAATAAACGAGCCAGATTGTTGATGGATGGATAATCTGTGTCTGCCTGATGTGTTGTTGCACATCCCTTCAATAAAAACACCCTACACACTGACAGAGCTTTGCGTGTTCTCAGACGATGAGCTGCTGCTGCATTATTCGTGGTTTTGACAGTTACCCTTTGCTCAGAATAGCGGTGCCTGAGAGTGACTGCATGTGTCTCCTGTATTCAGACGGATGGAAATGACTTGGCTACAGGTGGCTTCATCTCCTGATTTGAAGAGGCTGGTATTTTGTCATGACAGACATCAAACAGAGCTTTGGTGGATGTTCGGGGTGTTATAGCTTGATAGCCATATGGCTTTAATTATTGTTCCATTGTTGCCAGGCTCTCATAATAACCACGGCTGGGCTTTGATGTGGGTTTGATCCCACGTGACTCGTGGATGTTGAGCTGAAGTGGCCTATTGATGCAGACATAGAATTGGAAGCCTGATTCTTTTTTATTATGGGAGGTTGTTTGAAATGAAAGCTAGCATGTGTATTTATCCCACACTGCAGTTTTAATGAAAGAGGTAAGAAGCTAAAGGAATCTGTTTGGGAACCAGAGAACCTGGGGATTTAGATCAATGAGCCCCATCTTATTCATCTATATTAATGATAATAATATAGGATGATAAACTCTAGAAATGGTTCATTTTACAGTTTGACTGAAGTTTGTCATTACTGACTCCAATGTGTGTATTTTATTTGGTTAGATAGCCTCAGATGCTAGATTCCTTTCAGGACCTGATCTTTAGATGTTCCTGCAGAAACACGTGATACAGCTGTGGAGAATACACTGTAAACACCAAAGATAAGGGTTTCTGATTATCTCTGATGTTGATAATGCATTAACCAGTTCCCCTGTGAACAGGTTATGGATTGGATATGAACAATTGATCCACTCCCACATGTTTGACTAGAGACTTACCTCCAGAAGCCACCAGTTATCTGTGTGTTGCATCTAATGAAGGTCAGTTTTTAGAGACTGACTGTGGAAGGCTTCATTGTTATTCTTCTTTTTTAATTTATATCAGTGACGAGGTAAAATAGGTAAATAGTTTTGTTAAAACAAGTTATTTTCAAAGCTGTATTTGCCTCCTAAAGGGCTCAGCAGTCTGCTGGTCTGCTTACCATCTAACGATTGGAGGGTGAGTCCCCGGACTTGTCCGTGTTCTGAGATGGGACACAGGACACCCTCACGCTCGCGCTCCATCTGTTCACAACCACGGTTACAGAGATCAGCAGAACCATCTCACACCCTACCCGCTGCAGTGTGGAGAAATGAAGCAGAACTGCCCATTACTGGCCTCACCGTGCACACCTCCGAATGCACCGAGCATTTGGCACATCTGAAAGTCATCACTGCATATTTAATTAATTACCCTCATTAGCTGCAATAGACTTTCAGCAGCAAGCCCCCAATCAACGGGACGAGTTAACTAAACTGTGAAGTCCAATTTCAAACAATCTGACAAAAACCCAAACATAACCAGTTCTGCTGAAGTGTGTGACTGTGATGTGGAAGGAATTCAGATTCAGGTAAAGTCAAGCCATTTGTTTGGAACGCTGAAGTTTCCCTTTAGAAGAAGTCACATAGAGTCTGACACGAGAGTGTATCATTTCTTTAAAACTCCAAAG